CGAGAGCTCTGCTTCCAGTAGGACGGCTGGATCGAGCCGGCTGCCGGCAGTCCACCACCCAGCCCAGCCTCCCCCAGACAGCCCTCCCAGTGGTCACTGTATGTTGTTCGGCTGCGAACGCAGCTTCTCCACTGAAGTCTTCCATCCAGATGTTGTCATCGGCCAGCCCCATCCGGCTGGGCTGGCCTGGGGTCTGGCTCTCGCCTGTCAGTCCTGACATCTTCAGTGGATAATGGAACGCAAGGATGTGAGAGGCAGAGCAGGTGCATGCTAATGAGGAGATCAATTTTAATTATGATTTTAATTAAACGCCCGATCCGGTAGGAAATATGACAAGAACTAGGCTGGGGCTGTGCAACCTGAGAGGAGGGAGGGAGGCCCGGAGAAAGGCAAGAGCCTCTAGGCCTCCTCAGGATTTCAAAGAAGTAAAGGGCAGCACTGTTGGGAAATAGAGAAAAACCCATGTAACCTGCAACTCGCAGGTAGTAAGCCTTTGCCTCTACAGAGCTTTCAGACATCTCCAGTCCTAGAGGAGAGAACCTTAGCAAGAGAATCCTAGCGCTCGCCAGGCCCCCACTTCACTTTGCATGGGGAAACTGAGGCCCAAGGGACAGTGCCTTTCTTTCATCTGCCCCTGCAGGACACACTGGCATGACTCCAATAAGGTACTCATCACACTCTATGACCACCAGTGTGGCACAGCCTCCGCGTTGTTTATGTAAAGGGTTTACGGAGTCAGGAGTTGTTTGTACAGAACGAGCCCCCAGAGGCCAAGATTGTGCCTGCACCACTCTCTGCCATTACGAGCAGTGGCCGCCAACACTCCCAGCACTGACTCTACTGCAAAAAAAACTACCTAAAATACAGGATCTCCCCCAAACTCCACACCCCAGTCTACTGGGAATGATGCCTGACATATAGTAGGCACTCAGAAAACATCTGTAAGGGTGAAGTATAGAAAGCGCAAAGTCTAACATTAAGAAGTCAGTAGCTGCACCACGCAAGAGTTATTCTTTTCTCCCCCTGGTGCTGTGTGTGCGTGTCACTGTAGATTTAACCCAGGGGCAGAGCTCTATCCTCAGCCATTTTGTAAATTTTATTTTGAGGCAGTGTCGTCTCCCTAAGTTGCTGAGGCTGGCCTTAAATTGGCAATCCTCCTGTCTCAACCTCCTGAGGCTCTGGGGATTGCAGGCATGGGCCATTGTAGCTGACAGGTTTTTTTGAGATTTACCAAATAAAAATGTGTGCATTTAAGGTGTGCACTGTGACATTTTGATATCCATCTTTTATCAAAGTATATTTCAAGTCTATACTACTTTAACTAGAATCATCAGGCCGTATGTTAGCTCTTCAGAACTTACAACCGAAAGTTTGTACTCGTGGACAAACACGTCTTTTCCCTCTCCCCTGTCCCTGGTAACCGTATTGTTTCAGTGCATTTGACTATTTTAGGTTCCAAATACAAGTGAGATCATGCAATATTTGTCTGTGTCTGCTTTATTTCACCTTAGCATAATGTCCTCCGGGTTCATTCACATTGTTCCAAGTGGCCAAGTTTCCTTCTTTTTTAAGGATGAATAGTTTTCCCTTGAGTATATACACCACCATTTTCTCTTTTGCTTCATCTGCCAATGGACATGGAAGTTGTTTTTATAACTTGGCTGTTGTGAAAATACTGCAATAAAAACAAGAGTGCAGATATCTCTTCTCGGTTGTTCCTAAGCCAGGCAACCAGATTTCTCAACACTGCCCTATTGGAAGACAGCAGTGTGAGTGTGCTCACGTGTGTCCTGTCTGTGTGCGTATTGTGTGCTGCGTATGTGGTGGCAGCTGAGAGGAGCTGGTGGGAAGAGGAAGCTCACAAAGCCAAAGGAACTAATCCTGCAGGACTCTTAATAATGGATAATGATAGAATAACACAGTGGCAGCACTGTAAGAACTTTATATATGAACACTGTCCAACAAAATTTTAGGATGATATTTTTTATTTTCTATTCAGTCTGCCTGACCTATTAGCCACTAGCCACATGTGGCTGTGGAGCATTTGAAATGTGGTAGTGTGAGTGGCAGAATCTTTTAATAAATTTAATTTTAATTAATTCAGATTCAAATAGCCACTTGTCACTCAGAGCTACCAAATGTGGATGATGCAATTGTAGAGTCCTTGATCAAATTCTTTGTTCAGCAGAGGAAACCAAAGCCCATAAAAGTAGCTCTTGGGCCCCAGGCAAGCTCATCCATTGGGCTTCACAGGGAAAACCTGGAGGCTCATTCCTATAATACTCTTCTTGTGCATAAACCGCACTTGTTAGGAGGCTCCAATTCATTCCTCCCATAAGCTTGGACTCACAAAGCTGCTGGCGGGGCAAGAGCTTGGGGAAATAACCCAGCTGCTGCCTCGACCTCTTCTCCACCACCAGTGCCCTGGCAAGGTGAGCCCATCTGCTTCTTTCACCTAGGTAATGTGAGGTCTCCCCCACCCCTGTCTCCTGCAGCTAAGGTCTCGTCACTGGCATGAACAGAGAAGCTGAATCGGAGATGGTGGCAGAAGTTAATTGAGATTAGATGTGCATATTCCATGGCTAACAAAAGCACAGATGCTCCAGAGCCACTTCTCAGGCCAGATCATCTTCTAACTCATCTCCTCTCCTCCCCCTCAGCTCCCTCCCCATCTACCTACCCCCTGCAATCCACAGCCTCCAGGTGCTCCAGAGAGGTATCGATTGAGCTCCTTCTCCCTCTCACATGTTATGACTCAATATCAGTTAAACCTTTTCCATAATGAATGAGGTCATTTGTGGGAGGAATGGAGAAAATAGGGACTCTCAGCCTCCCTTGAACACACCCATCTCGACTCCCCTCCTCCTCCCTCATTTCCTCTCCTCTGCCGTCAGCTTCATTTTGGGGGTTGCCAACGAAGAGGTGAAGTCAGGATACCCACAAATCACCTCTACAGTCGGAACACAAAGGATCCCCATTCTTGAAACACATTTCAGGCTCCCAGATTGGCAAGGATGAAAAACCAGAGGAAAGCATGGACTATAAACCCTGGGTGAACTCCCCAGCCCACCGGAAGGTCCCTTGCTGTTGGAGCAACTGAATTGCAAGCTTCAGATGGACTCTAATTCTCAGACTCTGGAAGAGAGTTTGCCAGGAGCGTCTTCTTAGAAAGGATATGTTCAGAATTCTCTGTTCCTTTCCAGTAAGTGAGGGATCAAGGAGGACAGAGACGTAAGCAATTTCCATCTGTGATTTTGAGAGCACTTTCTTCCTCTCCTAAATCAGAGCAGGCTCCATGTCAGCTGCACCCTGGGGTGTGACCACATGGTCTCCAGACCCAGGCTCTGATTCATACACTCAGGACCCTCCAGGGAGGATAGAGGCAGCCTCTCTGTGGACATGGCCATCTTCCTGGGAAGGGAAAGACCCTGCTGAGCCACAACTGCCTGCCTGTCGGAGACCTGTTAGCTGAAACAGACAAAAATGGAAGAGACAGCTCGCTGACCTACTGGGGCACAGGGGGCACGGAGAGCATGCAGGGCGCAGAGGGAACCACGTGGGGAGGCAGGCTATGAAGCCATCGGTGAGGGAATGGGCCAGGGACCGACAGAGCGGGTTACCTCACCAAGATGGCCCTTCTCACTCTAAGTGGGCTCTCGGAGGATGAAATTCTTTCTTTGAAAGAACTGACAGCATGGCTTTGTGAGTCCCCTCAACAATTCCTTTTGCTCCTTTTTAAAGGCACCCCTTCCAGAGAGTAGCCCATGTTCAAGGAACCAATGGGCACGGCTTCCTTGGCACCAGCCCTTCTTTCCTTCCACAGTCCATCTGCAGTCATCGAGCACCTACTGTGCTTTCTTCTTTCTCCTGGCCAATGAGGACTTCTTCTCTTGTTAGAACAATGCCCACTTTCCTTTGCATAGGATTCCACTTCTGAAGAACAAGGGCTCTGGATAATGAAGGAAGGGGAGAGGGAGGGAAAAGCAGGAATAGAAACAGGAGCAAAGGATGGAATGGAGGATGGCAGGTCTCTTCACTGTTCTTCAGATCCTGTCTGGCTTGGTTTTGTTCCCAGCATTATTAGCTTATCGCCTAACCGCCCACATGCACTGGGTGACCCCAAGGTCCCGAAGGTGAGGGCTGAGGTGTGGAAGAGCTTAACAGCTCCCTCCAGCACAATTGCCTCCATTCATACACCTGAGCATGATTCCAGGTTCCCTCAAAGCCCCAGGTGGGCACACCTACTACATACCTGCAGGGCATTGCATTCAAAGCCAAACAAAGCGAGCACACACTGCTGTTTTAAAGTGCCTGCCCACACAGCACATGCCTCCTGGGAGTGTCCAGGAGGGGAAACCAGCAGAGAGGTGTAGATTCTGGCTGACAGCCCAGGGGACCCACATCTTTTCCCCTCCTTCTGCACAAACATGTTTCATCTTCTGCCTGGGACTGCCTGCCCAAGCCCAGCACTGTCAACATTCTTTCCTGGGAATTAGCAAGCCCTACCGACATACAAGGACTTTATTAGCGCTGGCAATATTCCCCAATATCCAAAGGTCACCATGGATCCTATAGACAAGAGTCCTTCTCTGGCTCACTCCGGGGAGTGGGGGCAGGGTGGGTTGTGAATGGAGTTCTTTGTCTCACGGATTTGAAGATGTTGCAATCTAGGCTTAGGGGCTTAAGGAATATGCTGCCAGTTAGAAAAATGAATCCAGCTGGAGCCTTGGCATCCAATCTTTTAAACTTCTTCCCTCTTCCTCACTCTAGCAAATCTATCAACCAATATTTAGGGAGCACCTGTTACAAGTGAGGCATCACAGGAGACTTAAAGATGTCTAAGTCACCATCTTTGACCACACTGAAGAAATGTCTATCTTCCTTCGTGGGCCATGCAAGGTGCACTGGTAGGTACTCAGATGTGAACCGTACAATGGTGAGAAAGATGCTCACAAGGAGCACACAGAGCAGCCCTGGGGGTAATGGCCATGAGCCTCTTATCCTCAGTAGGAGGAGGTAGACACCAAGTGATGTGGGAACACTGCAGGAGAGGTCACTGTGGGATGACAGGATGGAGACCCTGCACCAAAGCCTGAGCATAGCCTAGAAAGGTGATTTGGATTTAGTTGAGAGGAGATGGTGCAGAAAACATTCCAGATGGGTAAAGTCCCATGAGGCAGGGGATCTGTTCAAAAGGACCCAATAAAATCTCAAGAGAGAGAACAGTTGGAACAGAACAGTTTCTAAAGGAATGCTCATGTGGAGGAGAGGTGGGAAACCAGTTTGAAAATACCAACTGAGGACCAAACACCACTAGTAAGCCCTAGCTGGACCCTGTTCTAGCAGAGAACTATGTCCTACATCTTCATGGAGAGAAGAGAGGATTCTGGCTTTGAGCTTATGGATAAGCTTCAGATCCAGAGCTGTGGCAGGCACCTCCAAATGGAAGCCCACGTGGGCAGTGGGGCCTTTGTTCAGCCTCCCTCCTGGGGACAGCTTTCCACTTCCCCTCACTCAGAGCCTCCCACCTCCCACTTAGCCACGTCAGTCCCACTGTTTATCAAAGAGCACTTCCTCCTTTTCCTGCCCCCAAATTCATCACCTTCTCTGCACCTGCCCTATCCTCCCTCCACCCCTCCCTCGTTCCCAGTCCAATGGAGGTGGAGGCCAGTCCCACTACCTGTGTTCCAGATCTCACTTGCTCAAAGCACTACCAGGACATGTGACCATGATTAATGTCTTCTTATTTTCAACTTCCCCTCCCTGATTGAACTTTCCCTTCACTCTTTAAATATGCCATAGAATCTCCCATCTCAAAATCAAAGTGTTGGTGGGATCCCAGTGGTACAGCCCCATAATCCCAGCAACTCAGGACGCTGAGGCAGGAGGATCTAAAGTTTGAGGTCAGACTCGGCAACTTCTCAAGACCCTGTCTTCAAATAAAATAAAGGGCTGCAGATGTGGCTCAGTGATAAAGTGCTCCTGGGTTCAATCCTCCCCGCCAAAAAATTAAATAAAATCAAATAAAACCTTCCTGTCTTATATCCACTTCTAATAATCACCTCATCTCTGTATTCTCCATTCTCAGCCAAGCTGCCCCAAGGGCATGGAAACAGATGCTTTCTCCATTTTAACCCACATCACTGTGTCTTCCACAGCTGCTCCTTTGCACACACGCCCACGCACCACTGACACTGCTTTTGCTCAGAGCATCAGTGACCCACAGATTACAAAGTCTCACAGGCGCTCTGGTGTCTCCATCTACTTGACTCTGCAACAGTATTTGCCAAGCGAATGCTTCCCTCCTCTTGAAACACTCTTTCTGTTCCTGTGAGCTCACTTTCTCCTGTTTTTCTCCTAACCTCTTGCTGGCTTTGCGCAGCCTCTTCTTTCTTAAACAAAACTTACTATTTATGCAATTCTGAGCTTTCTGTTTTTTAATTACTTTAGTCCTCAAAACAAACCCATAACATAGACTTATTATTTTCTCCATTTTGCTAGATGAGAGAACTAAGAAACACAGAGAAATTTTTTCTGACTGTCTTAGCTAGTAACTGCAAAAGACAAGAGCGGAACAGACAGCTTGGATCCTGTGTCTATACTGTTCAAAACTATGTTATGCAGTTTCTTTATCTGAATTAATAAGAATAGAATAGATTAGGTTGCAATAGCAAACAACCTAAATCTCAGATGAGGTTGTTCCCACCTAACACAACAAGGCCAGGATGTACGTGCAGGCAATCTGCTCCACATGGTCATTCAGGGACTCAGGTAACATAAGCTCCAACAACTTGTACCTGGAGAGAGAGAGAGAGAGAGAGAGAGAGAGAGAGAAAGAGAGACTGAAAATCATATATAGAATTTTTAACTGTCATTTCCATCATACTTCTTTAATTAGAGGTAATCACAAGGCCCCACCTAACTACAATGGGAAATGAAAATATTGGGGAGTAAATGGAATACTTGCTGAGGTATTGTATATACAATACTAAAATACAAATGCTAGAGTTCCTCCAGATTTGGTCTTGGGCCCTCATCTTTTTTCCCTATTTTTTTTAGTATCTATACTAAAATTTCTCAAATTTATATATATGCCCAGAACTCAGCCTTATTTCAGAGTATCAATCTTTCTTTTGTAAATATTTATTTTTTAATTGTAGTTGGACAAAATACCTCTATTTTTTTTTAAATTTTTTATTGTTGGCTGTTCAAAACATTACATAGTTCTTGATATATCATATTTCACAATTTGATTCAAGTGGGTTATGAGCTCCCATTTTTACCCCATATACAGATTGCAGAATCACATTAGTTACACATCCATTGATTTACATATTGCCATATTAGTGTCTGTTGTATTCTGCTGCCTTTCCTATCCTCTACTATCCCCCCTCCCCTCCCCTCCCCTCCCCTCCCCTCTTTCTCTGCTCCCTCTACTGACATTCGTTTGTCCCCCTTATATTATTTTTCCCCTTCCCCTCACTTCCTCTTGTATGTACTTTTGTATAACTCTGAGGGTCTCCTTCCATTTCCATGCATTTTCCCTTCTCTCTCCCTTTCCCTCCCACCTCTCATCCCTGTTTAATGTTAATCTTCTTCTCATGCTCTTCGACCCTACTCTGTTCTTAGTTACTCTCCTTATATCAAAGAAGACATTTGGCACAAAATACCTCTATTTTTTAAAATTTATTTTTATATGGTGCTTAGGATTAAACCCAAGGTCTCAAACATGCTAGGCGAATGCTCTACAGCTGAGGCACAACCCCAGCCCCCAGAGTGCCAATCTTGCCTGTCTAATGGCTTACCTTCTTTAAAATCGTATCTTAAAAGGTCCCTTAATATATTCAAAACAAACCCTTGGAGTTCTCCCCCATCAAAATCTCTCCTCCCCCAACCTGTTTCATATCAATAAATGACACCTCCATCCGTTTAGTCATTCTGCCAGCAGTCTGGGGGTTATTTCTGATCCTTCTCCTAACTTCCCTTATTAAACTTATTCCCAACTCTGGAGGAGTCTATCTTCAAAATAATGTTAAATCTACCCAGTTATGATAGCACTATCACTCTTATCTAAGTCACCATTATCTCTTGTCTTGACCACTGCATGGCCTCCTCCTTGTTCTCTTTACTTGCTGTCCATGCCCTTCTAGAACATTCTCCACACTATAGCCAGACTGATCTTCATAAAGTCCATACCAGGTCATGTCACTTTGTTCTCCCTCAGTGATTGTCCATATTGCTCAGGATTAGGTCCAAGATCCTTAAAGGGGCCCACAGAGTCCCACACTCTAATGGCTCTCCAGCGACATCCTGTACCATCTCTCCATCAAGCACCACTCTCCAGGATCACAGACTTTCTCTGAGTTCCCTGATTACCACATACTCCTACCAGACACAAACCTTCAAACATGCTGCTCCCATCCCTTGAAATTGCTCTTTTTTAAAACTATCTCCCAGCAAAGTCAATCTCATGCATGGGTCTCATTTCAAATGTCATCTCCCAAGAGAGACCTTCATGAAATCCCCAATGTAAATGACGTCTTCCTTGTATACTATCTCAGCACACCCTACCCTTTTGCTTTATAAGACTAAACTGCAATTTGTAACTACACACCTATTTTGTGACTTCTTATATGATATCTTACTGTCATGAAACTATAAGCTCCATGGTAGATATAGTAGAAAACATATTTGTTCACCATCATACCTGCCATAGTATCTAGTATCTACCCATGTTTATAGCAGCACAATCACTGGAGCCAAACTATGGAGCCAGTCTAAATGTCCACCAATGGATGAATGCATTAAGACAATGTGGTATATAAACACAATGGAGTTTTATTCAGCCATAAAGAATAAAATTATGTCATTTGCAGAAAAATGGATGAAACTTACAGTAGGTTAAGCAAAATAAGCCAAACTCAGAAAGTCAAGATTGTTTTCTCTCATATGTGGGAGCTAAAGAGGGGAAGGAAAAGAAAGAAGCAGTAGAGGAAAGGAAACCCAGGAGGAGGGGGAAGGGAGGAAAAGGGGAAATCCTGGGGAAAGATGTTGGCCAAATTATGTTGTTACATAGCATGTACATATGAACATGTAACAAGTCCCACCGTTTTGTACAACTATAATGCACCGATTAAAAATATGAAAAAAAACCTAATCTATAGTAGGCCAACAGTTAATAATTGTTGAATGAATAAACCCTTGTAAAAGCAACCCGTGCCCCAGAATGTGCCTTTAAGGATCAGCTGATGCAGCCTACCACAGCACTGGCTTTCCAGCCTCTCACTTCCTGTCGATGTTCTTAAGATCAAGTCACAGTGATCTTCTACTGCCTAATTCTCCAAAGAACACGGGGACCTGGGTGACCTAGAACAATTAGCTAAGCCTGACTCCTTTGGAGACTCAGCCTCATCTCCTAAGGCTAAGCTGATCTGGGTCAGACTCCTTATAGTTGAGGTCTCTGTCCTTAGGTTTTTAAGATTGATCAATTAAAGACTGAACTCTTTAGTCCAGTCCACAAGATCTTTTGCAAGCTGACTCTTCCTATTTTCCAACTCTCTCTGCTAGAACTCATTGCTACAAACTTCCTGGCTTAAAATAACACAAATTTATTTTCTTATAGTTCTGGAGTCTGACGTTAGTTTCACTGGACTGAAACAGTGACATTGGCTGTATTCCTTGCTGGTGGCTCTAAGAAGCATCCTCTTTCTTGTCTTCTCCGGCATCTGGAGGCCACTTGCTGTCTTCAGCTTTGTCAGTCCTCAAAGCTAGCAATATCAGGGTGAGTCCCTCTTACACGGTCTTCTGTGGTTCTCACTCTTCTGCCTCCCTCTTACATTTATAGGACCCTGCGATTTCTTTTTTTTTTTAATATATATTTTAGTTGTTGATAGACCTTTATTTTATTTATTAATATGTGGTGCTAAGAATCAAACCCTGTGCCTCACACATGCCCTGCAAGTGCACTACCACTGAGCCACAGTCCCAGCCCCAAACCCTGCGATTTCACTGGGTCCACCCAGACAAACCAAAATAATCTCCCATCTCAGGTCAACTGATGAGTCACCTCAATTCCATCAGCAACCCCTTTGCCTTGTATCCCAACATTGTCACAGGTGCTGGGGATTAGGACGTGGACATTTACTTACCACCAACCTCATTACCTTCCACTTCTCACCCCAAACTCTACATCTTAACCACAGAGAACTTGAGACCTGGAGCAGTTATTCTGAAGAGCTGGGAAGGTAGAATGAGGATCTGCAGGAATCCACGAGAGTTCCTTCTGAAAGTTTCCAAACAAGCTCTGCTTCCTATATCCCTCTGCACACCATAGATCACCATAGGGCACCACCAATCTTCTCTCCTGAAAATGAGGACAAGTGTACCTATTTTTCTGGACCACTGTGAGGATTTCATGAGTTGACATTTGTCTAGTGCTTTGGGAAGTAGGAGAGTGGAAGAAAAAGAACTCATGTTCTGGCTTCAAAAGTCTGGGTTCAAATTTTGATTACCTATCATTTAATAATAATGTGACTCTAGCAGAGTATGTATCTTTATAAACACCCTCAAAATCTTTATCTCCTTAACAATAAAATGGAGGTATCAAAAATATCCCTCTTACAGCCAGGCACAGTGGCACATGCCTGTAATCCCAGCAGCTTGGGAGGCTGAGACAAGAGGATCACTGGTTCAAAGCCAATCTCAGCAAAAGCGAGGCACTAAGCAACTTGATGAGATCCTGTCTCTAAATAAAATACAAAATAGAGCTTAGGATATGGCTTAGAGATCGAGTGAACCTGAGTTCAATACCCCCCCAAAATATATTCTCTTGGAAGGTTACTGTAGAATCAAATGAGATAAATTATGCAAAGTATTTGGTATAAGGTAATTGCTCCATAAGGTTAGGTATTGTGGTTATTATACTAGAATCCTTAACAAATCATAGCTGTTCTTTGTTGTGGTGATGGGTTAGTTCATTCCTTTATCAGACAAAACTCTCAAAGCTCAGCTTAAGCACTGCATCTTCAGGAAAGCCCTCTACCTTCTTTCTTGGGCAAAGGTCCTTAGTCATTTCTCCCATGTATTCCTATGGTGTCCAGTCTACATTTTTACTACAGCAGCATTAAAATGGATTGGATTGAGAGTCTTGCAACAAAAACAAAATCATACATGTAGGATACTGAGCTCCTTGAAGCTTCCACGTCTTTCTTTTTCTTCTTTTTTTTTTTTTTTTTTTTTGTACCTAGGGGCACTTTACCACTGAGGCACATCCCAAACCCTTTTTATTTTTAATATTAAGACAGGGCCTCACCGAGTTGCTGAAGCTGACCCCCAACTTGCTATACTCCTGCCTCAGCTTCCTGAGTCACTGGGATCACAAGTGCGCGCCACCACACCCAGCTATGGTTCCATGTCTTGTTCTTCCTATATTCAGTGCCTGGTTCAGGACCTAGGCAGTGCAAAGTTTAGAAACTATTTATTGGTTGAATTAATATAGAATTCTACATTACAACTTAGGAATTGACATGGTGTTGAATATTTATCAAACAATTTGTCTAAACACCAATAATATCATTCTAGTCTCAGTGTTCAGGATGGTGAGGTGCACACTGTGTTCCCTAGAAAGAATAAACTTTAGGGTTGAAACCAAACTGGAAGGCCCTAAGTAACTTAGCAAGATCCTGACTCAAAATAAAAAATTAAAAAGGGATATGGATGTTGCTCAGTGGTTAAACACCCCTGGGTTCAATTTCTAGTACCAAAACAAACAAACAAACAAACAAAATCAAAATAGACCCCCCAGGAGAGCTATAGTCAAAGAGTAGGATCTCCCCATCTGCAACCCCAGAATGGGAAGAGTCCTCCATAGTGGCCCGTGGACTACCATCACCTAGTCAGGGCCTTTCATTCCCTGGTTCAGCAACTAGGCCCTGCAGAAAAACTGTACCCCAAGCAGAACAGGGCTGAAAATCATATTTTCATGGGATGTCAAACCTCCTCTCCTACCTTAAATGAAAGGTATTATTTCTGAGAGGCGAATGTCACACTCCACCACCAAAATTCTGCTACCTCGGCAAAAACCCCAGCAGTTTCTCTGCACGGCTGGCAGCTCTCCACCCAAGGCCAATGCTGGGAAAATTCACCAGGCCCAACGCAAATCACAGAAGCACAAGGCTCTCTGTGATTAAAACAAGGGAAAGCAAACTCAAGGAGCATTTACTGTGCAGAAGTAGGATAGACAGAGGAAATATGGTCCAGATACCACCCAGGACCCATAACAGGTCCTAACTCCTCTTGGGAAACTCACCTATCACTTTGCCAGATAAGTAAATTATCCCCGGCTCAGCAACCTCTGGGCCTTTGCTGTAATGGATGATATCCTTTCACCTTCCTCTTTGGTTTATATAAAAATATATCCTTCTTAGCTGCCAAAATGCTATCCATCCCTTGTCTCTAAGCAATTCATGCTGGAGATGAGACCTCTTTCTGATTCACCCACACTGAACCTGCCCTGGAATAAAAAAGCTTTGTACAGAGCTGGGCAAGGTGGAAAAGGTGTCAGGCAGTGACTGTATTCAAATAAATGGCAAACTGTCTATACTTTTTAATGAGTGAGAGTGTGCTAGAGAGAGCAGGTCAGAAACTGGCTTTCTGTCCCTGGAGCTTTCTGTTGTGTCAACTTCTGTGTGTGTGGCCTGGGGGCTGATCATGCTCTCAGTTCCCGAGAGTCCCAGGAGCACTAACTGCTTACCTAGCTGGCAGCTCCAAGCGAGGACACCTGTCCACCTAGGCCACATCTTCCCAGATAGGGAGGGCTTGGGGCCTACTTATCCTCCCCAGCCACTCCCAAAGGCTTGTGCTTTCTGACAGAGACAGGAGTCTGCTCCTGGCATAACCCAGATGATTAGCTTGGGTGTTCTGTGTCTTCTAGGTGCCCTGTGGCTGGGCTCGGGTGCCAACCTGTTCCAGCCTGATGCACTCTGTGGCAAGGATGCAGCTATTCTGAGTCCAGGAGCTCAGCTGTTTTGCCAAGATGGATTCAGGTGTTGACCTATGTGTGGCCTGCAAGCTCTCTTGGCAAAGCACTCCATCCAGATATTTCCTCACCCAGGCCCCTAAGACAACCAGGTGCACCATATCCTCATATCCTCGTGGAACGCCAGCTGGATTTCCTAGGGAACCTGTCACCTCCAGAAAACTCCCAGTGACAAAGAGTGTTCTGGGTACCAAGGACTCTCCACTCAGCAGTCTCCAGCCTGCTCCTCCATCTTCTTGCTCCACTGCATGCCTGGGGGCTGTATGCAAACATTTGCTTTGATTTGTAAAATGATCCATATAATTAGGGAAAAGAGTTAAATAAAGGGACTGATTTCAGAGAGCAGGCTCTTAATGACACTAATACCTGACAAAAGGGGTCATTATGATGGGCTAATGGGCCTTGCCTGGCGTTCAGCTCTCTCAGGACACAATCCAACACACTCAATTATCTGCTAATCAGGGCCATTTTGTCAGAGGTTATTGCCCTGAAGTATCAATTATAGGAACATTATTAATACTTTATGGAGAAACCACTTGCATGAAAGTGTTAAAACTCACGGGGCAAGCCTTTCGTCCCTGTCCCCACTTAGATCCATACTACACAGTCTCTTTTGGCCCCCATTTAGCTCCCCAACTAGGGTTTTCCATGACCCATTAGGTCTACTGGGAAGGAGCCAGGGCCATGATGATGTTCCCAAATCTGTCACCTGTGACCAAGCTGGCAATCCCAACTCTTAATGCCACCAGCTGGCAACAGTGGCTTAGCCCAAAGCCAAGGCATTACTGACTCAAGATGTGGGAGGGAAGCAGGGAGCCACGGGCTGCAGGAACATGTGTGTGTGTGTTTCTGTCTCTCTCCTTTCTCTGCCTCTGTCTCCCTCCCTTTCCTCCTCCTCCCCCCATCGCCATCCCTCTCTCTCTTTCTCCAATGTGATCCTTTAAGAAAGTGTGAGGGGATGGACAGATGATCCCTACTTTAAGACATAATCTGTTCAGTACACAATCTATGCTACTCCCTAGAACCTGTTTTTCCATATTGGATTCATGGATAATTCACCTCTAAGAAAGCACATCCAATACAGAAACTGGAGGAAAAACTCTGGGATTTTTTTCTTTTTGCACAGTACTGGAGAGCAAACCCAGGGCCTCGTGCATGCTAGGCAAATGCTCGACCATTGTCCCTATATCCCCAATCTGGGAGATACAACTCTGAAAGGTGGTGTACTTTAGAAGACAAAATATGAAAAGGACTTTAGAGTCAAATCAATTCTCATTCAAATCTCTGTCCCATCACTCACTGGCGGCAGGATCTCAGGAAAGTCACTTAACCTCTCTGAGCTGTGGTTTTCAGTCTCTTGGGAGGCTCCATATGGTATGGTACTAGGGAGATCTAGGCTTCAGAATGCCAGCTGTGCCCTGGAAGTGTTTACTAGTTGTGCAAACTGGAGCAGGTTATTTAGCATCTTTGAACCTCAATTCATGGTAGAGACTTTCACATCCATATGCTGGAGCTGAGGTAACAGTTAAATAAGAACACATACATAAGCACCTAGTACTGTTCCTGGCACATGCCACCCAGAGCGAGCATGACACTTACTTTGAGGTGGCTCTAAAGTTGAAATATTCCTTGCTAAATAAATAATGGATGTAAATGCTCAAAGAAAACAAGATCTCTCTGTTCCTCTATGTCTGAATAACTAGACATTTGCCAATAAAAGGGTTTAATGATTTTTTTCAGCTGAGAAAGAAAGTGAGAGTGAGTCCCTGAAATACCACCCAGCACCTAGCATCCTGGGAGGTGCCTGTCAGCTGGTGGGGAGAGGCTTCCACTTCTGTGGCCCATCAGGCCTGGCCTTGCACATTACCATTAGGACAACCCACAGAAAAAGGTTCAGTGCCACCTGGGAATCTCCTATAATCTGGTTTATAGGCAGTGTTTTGTCTTATGAGAAAAAGGTCAGAAGAAGAGACAGGTTTACTCTGCCATTTAATGATTTCTCTCATCCTTGTGGAAGCTACACTATGATTTAGGAAATAGAAATTTAAAACAGGGTTGTGTTCATGCATTCGCCAATGGTTTTTGCGTATGTCCCTTTAACAGAGCAATGTAATCACCGTCCAAAATGGGGAGGCCAACTCAAGGCAGGGCAGTTCTACTATTGGCTGGTCTACATTCTAATATAAATGTTTATCTACAAACGCCTTGTGCTTTGTGTGGTCCATGGTCACCCTAAAGAGATGTTTAGTTTAGTTTTGTTTTTCCATCAGAGCAAGATAAAAATATTCAAGTGTCAGAAGAATTGTCCAAAATTGATAGTCATCTCC